GCCCACCCGGCCTTCGCCGTCTCGGGACACGAGGAGCTGAGCTGGCCCCCCTTTTTCTGTGGGTCGTGGGGCTTGAACTCTGGGCCTGGGCGCTGTCCCTCAGCTCTTCAGCTCAAGGTGAGCGCTCTACCCCTTGAGCCACAGCACCACTTCTGGTTTTCTAGTGGTTTATTGGAAATAAGTCTCGAGGACTTTTCTGCCCGGGCTGGCATTGAACCACGATCCTCAGATCTCAGCCTCCTGAGTAGCTGGGATGACAGGCGTGAGCCACTGGAGCCTGGCTTTCTGTGCTTTTTCCTTTTTTTTTTGTCTTTTCTTTTTTGGTACTGGGGATTGAACCCAGGATGTTGCGCTTGCTAGGCAAGCGCTTTGCCACTGAGCTACATCCCAGCCCTGTGCTTTTTCCTTTTAAGCTTTGTAAGGAACTACTTATTCACCCCACTCCCCCCCCCCTTTTCTGGCAGGTTGCAATGTTACGCACTTGCCTCTGGGCGTTCTCGGCCAGCACACTTAGGGAAATGCCATTCACCCTGGCAGACCTTAGGGCAAGTCGAACAGACTGGCTTGAAGATGGCCTCTTCCAGGAAGCTACCAGATCATTCCAGCCACAGCCACTCCTGGAGAACAAATTTTTGAAGGTGTTCCCGCCCCTTCTAGCTCTTTCCAGTGCTGTCAGCCCGTGGGTTTCCACCGACCTCGTGTACTTGATTTTCAAGGCCGCTGTGGGTCTGGGGAGAGGCCGACCATCACCACAAAGCTCACTGATTTATTTTTTTCGCCCCCTAAAACTGAAACCTGACTCTTGAATAAACAACTCCTCCGATTGCTGCAAGATATTGGTTAAGTTCCAGAATTCTGAACATTTTTATTTCCCCAGTGCTCCTATTGATTTTCTGGAGGAAAAAAATGTCAGTGGCCGGGCGCCGGAGGCTGAGATCTGAGGATTGTGGTTCAAAGCCAGCCTGGGCAGGAAAGTCCATGAGACTCTCATCTTCAATGAACCATCAGAAAAGCAGAAGTGGTGCTGTGGCTCAAGTGGTAGAGCTGAAGAGCTGAGGGACAGTGCTCAGGCCCAGAGTTCAAGCCCCATGACTGACCAAAAAAAAAAAAAAGAGCCAGTGGTCCTGACTGAACTTGAGGACCGAGGCTGACTGCTGGGGTGTGCTTTTTCACTCTCGGATAATCTATGCGATGTTGGTTTAAAGACTGACATTCTCCCAGGAGACCCTTGGGTTGGGTTTTCTTTCTCTGATGTTGTGCAATTGGACTTGATTATTTTATAGGGCCTAGAAAGTTCTCCTTTGGTCTATCTGCAGAGGAGACCTTTCCTGCAGGCCATGGGGGTTCAGGAGGACCTGGCCGGCTTGGCACACAGGTTGGGGGCGTGGCTGCCGTGGGCTGTCCACTCAGCACACTGCGTGTGGCGGTGCTGTGTGTGCAGCGTGTCCGGGCTGAGGGGGACAGGCTGCCCTATATATTTTTTTTAATTTTTTAATTTCTTGGCAGTCCTAGGATTGGGCGCTGTCCCTCAGCTCTTCAGCTCAAGGCTAGCGCTCTACCACTTAAGCCACAGCACCACTTCTGGCTTTTTCTGCTTACGTGGTGCTGAGGAATCGAACCCAGGGCCTCAGGCATGCAAGGCAATCACTGAGCCACTTTCCCATATAAGTATGTGTTTTAAATATGACACACTTGCTGGGTGCTGGTGGCTCACGCCTGTCATCCCAGCTACTCAGGAGGCTGAGATCTGAGGATCGCGGTTCAAAGCCAGCCCGG